TTACAGTATTTTTACAGTCTTTATTTTACAGTTAAAATATATGTTTATCAAATAAAGTCTAATGTTACAACTAATCTGGGATCCTTTTATGTTCCATGTTAAATATTTAGCTCAAAACTAAATATTTAATTTGTAAGTAGTATATAGTTTATAAACTATGACATTTATAAATATATGAATCACATGGTGAAAAACTGACTTTGAAAAATAAATCTGTTATTCTTTTCTTATAAAAGACTAAATAAAACAAAAATATTGGTGGTAATTTTTGACTGTGTAACTTTACAAACGGCAGCCCATATGCATGGATCAGGAAAACCTGTGATGTGCGTTAATAGTTGTGTAATATTTCAAAGATGAGCTGACTTGTGATAAATGAACCAATACATAAGTATGTACTGTTGATGTACTTCTGCTCTAAGTTCAGAGAAAAACAAACAAAAAATAAACAATTAATACATCATTTCCATTCCAGCATGATTTTTTTTTCAATATGAAGAGAGCCATTTAATTGGTCAAATAGAAGAGCTCTATTTGATGGTGAAATTGTCTGAGAGACAAAACTCATAAATGTAAAGTTTTTAGCCAAACATTTATTGTAGTTTATGCAGTTTATTGTGATGTGCATATTGTACAGGCTGTTATCACAGTAACAATAAATTATTGATATGATGTGCAGCTCTGAGTCAGTGTGTACAAGCTTCTTGAGCACATTGCACATCTTGTTTGTTGCAGTGCTGTAGTGGCACGTCTGGTATAATTACTGCATCGTTTCTATGTGGAAATGATCACTTGTCTGTAAATATATTTTTATAAACAGCATACAAAAAGATTGTTTTTTTAATGAAATAAAATAAAATAAATAAAATGTACCCATGTGAACTGAGAGTGCTGAGAGAAAGAAGCAAACACAATGTAATGTTATATAAAGATAACAGGATTAAATACTTTAACAGTAAAAACTGATCTTGTAACGACTCTTGCAGTTATTTGAGTTTTGTAAATATGGTGCACTGCAAAAATCTTTCTACTGTATTCCTTACAAGCTGGATTTCAGTGGATTTTAAAACTGATCCTGAGTAATGAACGTAGACAAAAACAAGATTTATTTCAAAGGTTGAACATAATTAAAACATTTCTGTAACTCACATGTGCTCCAGGGTGATATCTCAATTGCCTCTGTGTTGCCAGGGTGTTCCCAAGGTGGACAAAGTTACCTTGTGAACAGAAGAGAAAAAAACAGTATGACTCAGTGGGAAAATGTACTTTCTGCAGTGGACTGCCCACTGATACTCTACTGACTCTCTAAAGCACTGTATTGATTTTTAATTAAGGTTTCAAATGGAAACTTTCATGACAATGGTTCATGTTTGTGTTGTAGTTTAGCCTCCGACCACTAGTTGGAAGCAGTCAGTCAGCCATCTGGCTCCTCCACTCCTGAGAAGCCAGATAATGCTAGCTCTAGAGTTGGGATAAATGGCTCTTCGAAGGGATCCGGATCTTGGGGAGCCGTTTGTTTCTTAGAGCCGTTCAAAAGAGCCGTTCGTTTGAACGAGTTACGTCATCACGAAGGGAAATATGACATCACGTAGCCGTACGTAATGACGTCATCCCGTCACGTGGGTGAAACCATGTGTTTGTCAAGAGGAACCCCCCCCCCCACCTTCATCGTGAGCTTCTGTACTCCACAACCCTACCTGTTTTCCATGAAAAAGCAAAGCGGGAGTGATTTAAGTATGAAAATATAAAGAAATAAAACTACAAATGGCTCGTTATTGCCCGCGATTCGGCTCCTATCGTTCGTTGTAAAGAGCCGTTCAAAAGATTCGGATCGTTCGCGAACGTCACATCTCTAGCTAGCTCCAACATTAACACTGTAAGTAAACATTAGCATCATGTGCTGATGGCTGAATCTAACACCCGCCATCTTCTAAGCTACGGTAAAGTTGCCAGCAGTCCCTTTTTAGCCAGAATGTCTGTATTTTAAGACACACTGAAGTGTTGCGTTCAGTCAGCTGTTACAATAAACCATGTTGTGCTGTGAGGAGGAGCAGTGGAAGGAGGCAGCAGGGAGCAAGGAGGAAGGACCTGTAAGATGTGTTTGTTAAAACTTTCAGGCTAAAGCTTGAATTATACTAAAATACGACGTGAGACAGCGGTTTGGTGATTGTGTCATTTCAGACGTCTTTTTCCTGAGCCAGTATAAACAAGTTGAAGACATGATGGGCCATACATGATCATAGATCCTCCCACAGCTCAYACAAGTACATAAACAGCAATACTGATGGCTGGATATTGTGTTTTTATCACTCAGTTATCAATGCTGTGTTGGGTGAAGAAGAGTCCATAGAGGAAAACCTTTTTTTAATGTTAACGGTGGTGATGGAAAGAAAGAAGTGAAAATCAGCTGTGCTCACCATCAATAGGATCAAATCAGCTGCTCTTCTAGCTCTTAACAAAAAACATTTAAACAAAGTAACCTGCAGAAGGCAGAGCTGAGCAGAGTCCAGCGTGCTGAGGACCTGTGTTACAGTCCACTTCCTGCTGCTGGAGTGGTCTCTGGTCTGCTAGGCGCTCACATGTGCAGTTGAACCGCACCAGAGTTCACTTCAACCCAACTGAGACCTGGGTTTTCAGTTGGACCAGAGTTCTGTTACAGGTTCACACCTCCCAAACAAACCGGACTTTTCAGGCAAACAAACTAGAGTTTGATTAAAGCAAACTAAATGGGCTGGTGTGAATAAGACCTCTGAGTAAAGTGTGTAAGACCACCTTAAATAGTATTTTTTGTGAAATCAAGACTTTTTAAGGCTTTAATTTTAGATAAATGAAATCAAATCTTATGTTTAAAGAGCCTTCACATGTTTCCTTTAGTTAAATACTTAAAATGAACGTATCAGTAGTTCGTTTGTCTGATTAAGACTTGATTTACTTTTTTAGTGTTTTGGTGTCAAACTTCTGAAGTGTGGTAGAACATGCCGTCCTGACGTCATCTGTAGGGGTGACCCGATACCGATAACAGCATCAAGTACTCGTACTCGTACTCGTAAAAGCCGGCCGATACTCTTAACCGATACCGCTTCTGTCCCCTCCTGTGCTGTGCTGCTGCACAAAGGGTAAACAACAATCCATACCAGGCGGTGGCGCTAACGCGCTGACAAGATATTTCCGACCGCACCCCCGAATAACAGAAGAAGAAGTTTGTACGGAATGTCGGCAGTTTGGAGAGATTTTAAGATCGGCACGGAGGACACCAAACCAGCAGACTGTCTGCTGTGCTACAAATATCTTTGTTGTAAAAACATTTTGTTTTTCCCTCTGGTTCTTCTGAGATTTTGTTTTAATTTAAGTTTGAACTGAAATTTACTGCACTTTATTACTATTAGTCATTTTTTAACTGTTTAAGACTGAAGCAGAGTAAACTTCTATAGATGTGCTGCTAAAATTTATGTTTTACATTTTAATTTAAATTTGGTAGTTGCATGTTGAGGAAAATGTATAAAAATAACTTATTTTGTTTTTTAATGTAHGCAACAGCATTTGTTTTGCAGTATTTGCAGTGTTAATACATTCAGAGGGAGTGTGGCCTTATAAAAAAGAGCCTGTTTGAAATAAAATAAATGGTTTCAAAAGTTATGGTGTGAAATATATACCAACTTATCTACTTGTCAGAGTTTACACTACCTTTTTATTGTCAAACATAATATTTACTCATCAAGTTTTTGCAAGATAATTGCATTTCATTTTCATTCTGTTTAATATTCAACAAGTTGAACAGATAATCCACACGAACCCCGCTACTTTGTATCAGTGAGTACCTAAACTGAAGTACTCGTACTTGTACTCAGTCTTGAAAAAACTGGTATTGGGACAGCCCTAGTCATCTGTTACTGCCTCCGGCTGCACAGCTGAAAGACTCAAACCCGTCACAGTGGAAAAAGGTCAAAGTTTGTGTTGTTTCGTATCTATAAATGTATAGAACCTGTCCAAGTTTTCTGAAGTGTTGATTGTGTATCTGTGATCAGCAGCAGACATCTAGTAGACATTACCATCGCATTTCTTGTAGCCAAATCTCCGGCCAGGGCTTTTCCCTCCAAGGTTTCTGGAGCTTCCACTGGACTTCTTCGACGCAAACCTCACTGAGTTCAACACGCAAGCTGGACTGGAAACAAACAGACCTACAACAAGAACACACAAATCCTTTAAACTGTGAAGTTCTTCAGTTTCCACTCAGACCTGTCCGCTGTGCCCCGATAAAAAATACTGCTTGTTTTTTGTTTTACTAAAGATGAGAACTAAAATGTAAAATAAACCAAGTTTTTTATTAAACAGAACAACAAAAGACCGCATTTTCAGTGTTTTAATCTGGTTTTGGGGGGATTGGGATTAGATTATGCCTATATTTATCACCTATGTAAGAGCTGCGTTCTGTGAAACGTTGAAAACATGAAGGTCTGTTGTTAAACAGGAGTGGAGGTCTCCAGGTCCTGTTGTCCCCCTCTTACAGTGCTGTTATTGTATGACTCAGCACCCTGTGAACAGGGATAATCAGAGCACTGATGATCTATTGTTAGGCTGAGGGTCACATCTGAACAGTTTTGATTGTCATCATTAAACTTGTTTCACCAGGTAGAGACAGTGAGTTCACCTGAAACTCATCAGACTGAAGAAGACTTGGAGGAGAGATGAAACAGGTTTTTTAACAAAGAAGAAACCACCCAGAGGACCTCCTTAACTTTTAGATTTTTATACCTAGATTATTGAGATGTTTCAGAATAATACTACTTTATTTGTTTAAAGTGCCTGCGACATGTATATTCTTCATTTACAAAAAGTCAAAGAAAACATCTTTATATATAAGGAACTTGGCATAAAACACACAATTCTTACCCATTTCGTCACATAACTGGCATTTTTCCTTTGAACTTGGTTCAGCCGAAGTGAAACAGGAAGTGACATCAAAGGGGAACTCTTTAAGAACAAAAACCCTCTGGTCTTTGTTTATTGAAACAATATTGTTGAACTCTGACTCCTCGTCTTCATCTCTCTGATATTGACTCAAAATAAATCAAAGAAACATCAGACTCTTCTCTACAGTCTGGGTTGTCAGCCGTTTAAATAACGCTCTGACATCACTTCCTGTTGCTTCACATGCAAATATCTCAACAACTGTTCATCTGAGAGGCATAAAACTTGTTTTGTAATACGTTATTAATGATATCTTTCCAAAGATGCATTCACAGTTATTACAAAAATCTGATGCCACATGCACTTTAATAGGAAATGCTAACAACAGTGTAGATCAATGTTTCCCAAAGTTGGGGTCGGGACCCAAAGTGGGGTCCTGAAACATCAAGGTGGGGTCCTAAAAAGATTTTCTGAATTAATTACATTTTTGCCTCAGTTGTTACAGAGTGAGGTTAGTATATTTAAAATATTCCCTATAATTATTACAAAAACACAACTTGAGTATAAATAAGTATTTACATTTGTGTACAAGCTGTTTAGATTGTGAAAAATCCTGTGTTTTTAGGGTTATTAACGAAGTTCCTGTACTCAGATCAGTAATATTTGGGGTCACAAGTTTTTGCCATGGATATTTTGTGGGTCAGTAGATAAAAAGTTTGGGAACCACTGGTGTAGAATATAAAAAAATAACAGAATGCAATGATTTGAAGCTCTCTTAAATCCAGATTTTATTCATACTTCAACATAATAAACATGTCAAACATCTAAAAGAAAAAAATGCAACTTTTCAGGAAACATAAAATAATTTGGAATTGAAGGAAAAACATTTACAAAAACAGTTGTGATGGGAAACAAGGCTGTAAAAGTGAGTGGTATAAATAAAGCAGCAACTGAAGGAGCATTTTGAACTAATCAGGTTTACTGGCAACAGGACCTGGTAAAGAGGGCATTTTGAACAGACTGAAGTGTACGTAAAACTAGTGAAACTTAGAATAATTGAAATTCAGTTCAGTTTATTTATACAGCGCCAAGTGACAACGAAAGTCACCTCAGATCTCTATACAGAAATATTCACTTACATTATAAAAGCCACTTAGTAAAGGTGGACAGTCTAAGGAAGCCAGCAGAACCAGAACCAGAACCAGACTCAGGACAGGCGGCCATCTGCCTTGACCAGCTGGGTTTGGGGACAGGAAAGAGACACAGGTAAACACAGAAGGACTGGTCCAGATGTATTTTCTACTAAACTTCTATTGGAGTCACAGGGATCAATTCACTTTTTTGAAGGTTAACCTTATAACCAGATATGTTTCCAAACACTTAGACAAGGGATCTGAAATATAAAGAAGAGTATCATCAGCGTATAAGGAAACTTTATGTTCTGTGCCAAACCGATTAATACC